GATTACAAAGTTCTTACCATAGTGATGGTCTGAAGGATCAGCGATGACGATAAACGCGGTAATAACGAAATTTACATAAGTAGAAATATATAACCGAATAAAAAACAATAGACTACGCACGAATGACTTGTGAACAATTAAACGTCTAAAAACAACAAACGATAAGTAACGAAGGTGTTGGAGCTACACTACCAACATTCTTTGATTGACTGAGTTGTCTCTCACTGGCAATTCGTAACGAGTTAGGATATTTTTCATATCATATCAACTTTATTTTATTCCTTTAAATATGTTGTTGATCATTTATAGATGACAAACCCTCAGTGGTCAAAATACAGAGGAAAAATAAGCATAATGCGTGGTCGGTAAGGTCTGCGATCAATCTGGTATGAAACCAATCAATTGTTCAATTGTTAAAAATAGAGACGAGTTTTTTGTGAAATGATTTATGATTAATGTTACTTCTTTCTTATCTAATTGATCAAATGCGCWAAGCAAGAAAATAAGAAAGAACGACTATACTTCAATATATACAACATGGATTAAAGAGGGGGAATGGGTTGCACTGGAATACGCAAATGCGCCGAGAAAAATCTATAAATTCCGCAAGAAAAATTGTCGAAAATCAAAAGCTCATGAAATCTGCAAATTTCAGATTTCCGTCTTTTTTYCGTCTATTCACAAATCTGCGCTATAAAAATGTTAAACACTAGGGAATTTCCAGGGACGCCACTTTGTACAACAAACCATGATGGGAGTTGAAGTCCTCGCTTTTTTACCTCTTGAACTCTATTTTCCTAAAAATATTTATTGAAAGAACATTTTGAAGATAGCTAGAGGAGAGTAAAGAAGAGGAGGGATCGATAGTTAAGTCAATGATTAGGAGGAGTTATAGAGGATAGTGAAGGCGACTATAGTAAAGTAGGGCACTACTCAAGTCAACTAAAGGAAAGTAGAGAATGCTATGGACAGCAAAGGAAGTGGAAATGTAGTGAAATCACTGATGTTGTATAGTGCACGCAAAGATTAAGAAGACAACTGTATGGCATTCAGTCATGAAGTATATACCCACAAGAAGCTAGTTTGCTTCCACATTTTTAAGAGCGAGTGCTAAGAAGATGAAGCGTGCTCTCGTCCTCTTCTTGTCCATCTTTCAATTATATTGTAACAAAAGAATCTATTTTCATTAAAAAATATTTATCATTTATGAAGCAAAGGCATCTTGATAAATGGTTGGRTTGGCCGCTGTAGTTTGGCCAGTCATTGACGTCACGTGTTTCGCTGACGGACTGATACGGCTTCGTCGTCTAACCTAAAATCTCTTCAGAACCTGTAATATGTTTCAAGAAGCGTTTAAACAGTTCTAATGTGAGTTCAAGTAACTTTTTTTTATTTCTATTGACATTGCAAGAGGAATATTATCATTATGACGTACACAAGGAAAACTGCGCGGGACAATCATCCACATTTTCCAAAATATTGCAGCTGCTGTCTTTGTTTTTATATTTGTGACATGATGCCTGAGGGTCTTCGATGTCTGGACATTTTTGTAAGCACTGGAAACCTTCGTTCGTGATAGACTGAGCTATAACATGAACATCCCTTGGAGCATTGGTGAACATTTCTGCTTTTTCTGGATTGTAAATTAAACTTAAACTAGACGCTCTGGGAGCGTGAAGTCGGACTAGCTGCTTGTGAAAATTGAGAAAGACAGGATATTACATGGATAAAAATATTTCTTAACTTTTTTTTCCAAAACAGCCGAACTCACGGTCTAATAAGAGCGTCTAGTTCAAAATATGCAAAATTGATTGAGACTTTAAATAAACTTGACCTAAAAGGTCATGTAATTAACGCGATAAGAACGTGGCTTGCTTTGACTGATAAAATCAACCGCTCAGACAAATGTCTCGCTAAGTGATAGACGTTGACCTCTCAGGCAAAGAAAATAAAAACTTTACAAGGAAAAAGATGCCTATAAAATCATTAAATTCGCCTTTCTGTTATTGATAAACAAAGTTTCTTCTTGTTCTAATTTGAAATCTTTGCCCCCACAAGACTGTCTAACACTAGAAAGGATATTGATTCAGTTTTGTAAGCATACAACTCGAAACTCTATGAGATCTGCACATGCGCGTACTTCTAATGCCTAGACAGATGCATTCCGATGAGATCACAGATACCACATTTGTAAACGAATAGTTTTTTTGTCATATAAAAGCCAAGTAGCATATAACATTTACTAACGATATTCGTACATCAATACGCTTGAGCTTCCGGTCTACAAATGTAATAACACAGCCAACCCAATAGTTACTTATTAAATTCTTAACTTCCGGTGGTCCAAACGCGAYATAATACATAGATAGATAGACTAAAAGGTAAATTTAAAGTCGGACCGCCTTCGGCTAGTCCGACTAATAAGTCAGGATTTACGAGTATCAAATGATGAAAAATCACACTGAGATTGTACATTGTCCTCTAAAAACTGTAAGTAAGAACCTGATATCATCCAATTTGCTCTTCTTTGCATTAAAGATTTTCCGTAAAACTGAGAAAAGACATATTTCATATCCTATTTGCTGTGTAGTCTGATTGGTTTACTACACACAATCCTGTAATCTGACAGGAATTGCCTTTTACTAGTTTTCCATTATGATTGGCTAACAAAAAGATGCAATTTGGAGTCATAATAATGGCAATCATCATCGAGAAATTTTTCTCTATTTATAGAGGGAAAACAAACTTGTTTGAACGAGAACAAACAACCTTAGATTTTTGTCGAGATCTCGAATGAACGGAAGTTTTTAGTCCGATAAGGTTTCATTTCGTTTTCTAGCTGTTTGGGCTTATGTTTTGAGCTTTTACGTCGTCATTTTAGAGTAAATTTCCATCCAATAATTCTTTTTGAAGACTATTTCGCTAACTTGAATTGYTTGCACTATGAAACGATCGGCAAGATCTTGAACGTTGAATTCATGTGGCTSAAAACGTCATGGGGAATAACGGGAAACAAGACACTAGCGTACACCACAAAAAATGGCGCGAGTTCAAGAGGAGCTACAAACAAATTTACAAAATAATTCAAAAAAATATATATATATACAAACTTATTTTAAAAGCTCTCTTGCCAGGTCTGCATAGAAATATCGGACTTCACTTTTGATCGGTGGGATTTCCGTTTTCTTGTGAAAAAAACTGCGAAGTATGGGCAACAGGAAAGGGGGGAATGAAGGAATCTTCGGAACGCTGTCCGCGCACTAAAGTGTCGCAGGCGCGCGCGTTTTTTCCGGCAAAAAGATGAAATTTTTTGTTGCCCGATTTCTTTGCACACAAAAATGMATACTTATCCCAATTAAAGTCATATCCCGAGCCCTAGAAGTAGAAAACCATAACGACCGAAAAGTTAATAAACATGAATTTATACATAATTTCTATGTCGGGAGCGACAATATAACGCAAGAAATTCCCACCTTTTTACCCTTTTTTTTTCGATTTGTCATTATTCCTTGAAAATGCTCCGTTTCAGTGCACGCCCGCGATATTTCGAACAGAACATATCGCAAYCGGGAAATCTTCTCTATAAAAAAATAATCATTTAAGAACATTTCGAATGGTCGAAGGTGAAGTGCTTTTAGCACTCATACGAAATCCGCTCTCACAGTGTAAACACGTAAACAACARAGCATACCTTTATTTTAGAAGATGTCAAAATACTTATACTTATACCTAACCCTAACCCTCCTTTGACGCACAGAACACACAAGACTTGGTTAAGGAAAACTAGTTTCGTCTTTACTTAGACCTTTTCAATTCCTCTACAACTGTTAGTGTATACTATACGCGCGAATCAAGAGAAGGGGGGTCTAATAGGTCTCGAACTAACTGCCGTTATATCCCATTATGGTTTGGTGGGACAGGGAACTGAAACGTATCATGAATGAGTTWGGAATGTTTGTGCACATGTATAAGTGGTATGTTGATGATATAAACATTATTATGACAATTCCACAATATGACATATCATGTGAGAACACCATTTACATGTGACACGTGACGAGGTTCCTATGGATAAAAAGTGCATGGATTTTGTTAAGTGTATAGGAAACACCACCCATCTATACAAGTCGAGGTTGACTACCCGTYAAATCATTCTGACAACAAGATACCTATATTTCCCTAGTTCATTATGACGTCCTATCAAAACATAGTAACTATGATCAAAACATGCTTTTGTTTTAACGCTAAGGATTATGGTCGCAAGAAGGGATCAGAGTGACTGCATATCCAATAAAAATGTACATGAATAATCATTTATACATGATATATATCAGAACACGATTCATTGAAGTTTTACTTTAGTAGAAAATATAAATGCGTCCACATTTCCACTGTTTTTGAGCATTGTTTTCCAATGTAAACATACTGTGACGTCATAATGAAATAGGGCAATTAGATGTAAAGGTATGGGTTTACCTGATGAATAACGCTAATTTAGTTATGCACGAGAAAAGAAATATCTTGTAAGTCAGTTATTCATCCACGCTCGGCTATACCATCACGCGAGACAAAAGAACGATACTCATACAAGAAGTAGTCAGAGTCATGCTTAATTGTAGCCCGTTATTACCATGGAAGGACAAAGCATAAGTGAGATGAGAAATGATAGTATATTTAACGTCGGTTTTATGCTTGGTTTATTAAGATTTTATGTAAGTGTAATGCATCTTTCAAAAGACGATTTAATCTTAGTCAATTCTTAAAATCTTTCATTTAAAACGCTTCTTTTTCAAATAAATCGGTGTCATGTTCGAAAATTTTACTCCAAAAGAATTTCATGATTCCAAAGTAGAAAGCAGCTTTTGAAGCATTTATAAGGATTACAACAGCTTGTAGAGAGGCGCGATCGTGCTCGTACTCGTGTATTCCAGCAGCTTGCGATGTCATTAGCGCAAACAAGAAAAAATTTTCCAGGAAATACGCMACGAGGGTCAAATAGTAGCAAAACTGAAAGCTTTTACAAKAATTTTCATTATTCGGAGCAGGGACATAATTCCACAGACACACTACCGCTGTCACTGTTACTTCATCAATGATAAAGCCAAACTCAATWATWGAAATRATAATAATGTTCTTGTGAAGATGACGTAGGACAACGTTAAAAATAATTACCAYGATTAACTGGAATAGCAACGACCAAAAACGTGCAATACGGAAAAGTTTCGTTCGAATRAAGTGAAATCCAGGAAACTGTGGAAGTGCTTTTAAGATTGCGATTCCAATGATAGAGTTTAGAGATGATGAAGTTTGCCATGCAATCTCGAACAAGGACGGAAATGGAAATACACTAAGATTTTCRCACCTTAAAGTCGACCCATGTCCGCTAACACCGAAAAAGCACTTGGTAGCAAACACAGCATAAAGTATAATACTGAGATATCTCAGTAGTATAAATACGACATACATGATTGTTACTGATGGTAAACATTTCATGACTTTTGTTTTGCGAGGGCAGCCTTTACCCTCCTCTTTTAAAGCCAACACATTCTCTTCCTCCGCTGCCATTGTACGGTATGTTCATGTAGTTGTTGTTGGTTATTAGCAAACACATGAACATTCACATCCAATATGTCAGATTTATCTTTTTCAGATTTGCGTAATGGCGATCATTTAACCCGCTGATACCATTTCGAAATGTACTGAAGCGTGTGACCTACCAACATTGCTTTATTCACTGAGTTTAGTTTCATTGATTGAAATAGACAATTCGTTACGCAACACTTAATGACATATTCTTGTCATATACACTAATTTGAGAGCAGGTAAATGTTTTCATTTCTAAAACTGTACTGGATATCCCATAACTATCACCTGGCCCTGATTCCCTGTTAGTCTTCAAGTGTCTCTTCCCCAAGTCCACTTGAGGGTGGCTGCCATGCACATCAATGTTACTAGTGTCTCACATGTAATATTTCCAAGTCTCCTTGGAAACTGTCGCCAACATCTCCTAACAGGTCCTAATGGCCCCATGTCCCTCTTTTCAACATTATCCTAATTGTAAATAAACGTAGTCAGGTTCCAACAGGTTACATCATCAAAGCAAAGACCCAAATGGAGCGTGAGAAAGCCAATTTTACGAGTATTGCAGTGCTTTTATCAAACGATTGTCTGCACCTAATTATAAATAAAAGAAAATGATCTTCTCCACGAGTAATGCAAAATTATTTAATATGTTTAGGCAAATATGAATCTAATTTCCGAGGAAAAAAAAACACCCTTCGATGTTCACTACGATACCATGCATGCTTTAGGGGTCCGACAACGCTAATTCAATTATAGGTAGTCTATATGTATTTATATACGGTTGTTTTATCTATTATTAATTGATTGATTTGATTGATCGATGCATGGAAAGATGGATTGGTCGATTGATTGACTAACTGATTGATTGATTGATTGATTGATTGATTGATTGATTGATTGATTGATTGATTGATTGATTGATTGATTGATTGATTGATTGATTGATTTTTTAGGGTTGTGGGTGTGCCAGAGGAAGGGCCAAATGAGTGTTTTGATCGTTGAATTATTATGACAACCACGAAATGACCCGTGTTCCTTTTTCTCTCTATGGCCAATTATTCTTGACGTTTCAATCTATAGATCCCTCTGACACATGGCCAGAAAATCCGGACATTTGAGCCCGCAATCGCAGCGGTACTTCGCATAAATGCATAAAAACATGAATGTAAATTTTACAAAGAAATGTATGGATCAAAAAAAACATTTGAGAATAACATTTCATCTGTTTTAATTGGAAAAATTCCATAGATGGATTCGTAAAGGGAAACCATTCTTGATTCCACTGTAGGAAATCCAAAGAAATCCAATATTGTTAACAGCGTCCATTTTGACAATATATTTTCCTTTCGTCTACTCCCTTTGGCCTTGTATCTCATGGTGAAAATTCGCGAAGAAGCGAAATTTCACCGTGGCTGATCGTGTTCCTTTACATTTCACTGAAATTCCATAGATCACTTCTCAAAGTCCACATATTGAAGTTGGAACACAGCGATTTTCCGCTATTTTGAAGACGATCAACAGCGTCCATTTTGGTACTAGAAATCGTACAAAAACTAACTTGACGGTGAAATGGCTGGCGAAGACGCGTGTTTCACGCGAATAATTGGCCTCGATCTTCCATTTTCTTTTCATTTTATACGCCATGTTTGATACCAAAATAAACCTTAGAAACGTGGCTTTCAGACTAGCACTACTTTAATTTTGTCGGTTTTTACTGGCGCCTTGCGCGCAGTGGTGAATAGCGGGAAATACGAACGAAAGATCAAGTCTACGCTATTTAGTGTAAACAATGTCAGACCTTTTAAATTCCTTACAAATGTACAAGTATAAACAAAAGATCACAATATCAACTGATGATCATTGTTTAAAATACCCAAGGGAAACGTGTGTTCCAGCAAACAATATTATTTACACTATGAACATTCCAAACGACCACCTTACAAGGCACTAATGAACTCAAGGATCAGAGCGTGCTATCCCAATACTCGTTTGTCCATGTTTTGAACGTTTCGATTTTAGCCCAGTATTGTATTAAGATAAAGGATCGTTGCACAAGAGTAGAAAATTTGATCTTAAAAAGTTCAAACCTCAAGGGAACTTGTAGAAAGCTCTATTTTGGTGGGAAAACCCGCTGACTCGTTCCGGGCTCAAATGTCCGGAATTTCTGGCCATGTTGTAGCGACGTCTTATGACGTCTTGGATATTCTTCGCTGAAAATATACCGTCTAAAACCTAGATTCAAACATCAATTTTGTTTGAGTGTATCTTCAAGCCTAAAAATATTTRTTGTAACTAAGAAGACGCTTTGAAGATGCCAATAACCATTTTATTTACTAAAAGATAACTTCTATAAAAAACAATAGAATCAAAAAGTTTCCTTTTCAAACAGGTCTGCATTATGYTCGAAGATTTTATTCCAGAAAAATTTCATGATTGCAAAGTAGAAAGTTGCCTCTGTAGCATTCATAATTATTCCAACGGCTTGTATCGACGCAGATCTGTGCTCAAACTCGTGTATTCCTGTGATGTCTAAAGCGGCTTGTGACGACATTAGCACAAACAAGTAAAGATTTTCCAGGAAAAACGCAATAAGAGTCAAATAGTAGCAAAATTGAAATCTTGTACAAGAATTTTCGCTGTTAGGAGCGGGCACAAAGTTCCACAGACACACTACAGTTGTCACTGTCACTTCATCAAAAATAAAACCAAACTCCACTACAGAAATGATAACAAGATGCTCATGAAGATACAAAATCACGTTAAAGGTAATTACCAAGAATAACTGGAAAAGCAATGACCAAAAACGTGCAATACGGATTAGTTTCTTTCGAATGGCTTGAAATCCAGGAAATTGTGGAAGTCGTTTCAACACTGCAATGGCAATGATGGAGTTGATAGATGATGAACTTTGCCAGGCAATCTCAAATAACGTAGGAAATGGAAACACACTGAAGTTTTCACATCTTAACGTCGCCAATTTTGCTCKGAAGAAGCACTCGGTAGCAAATACAGCATAAAGAATGATGCCTAGAAACCTCCATACCATGAACAGAATGTAGACTATCGTTACTGRTGGAAAACATTTCACTATTTCTGTCTCCTGAGAAGGAACTGGTCCTATCGMCTCCTCYTCTACGACACTGTGCCGCTCGCTTCCTTCTACGTCATTTTTAGAATTGCTTTCAGATTCTGTTTGTTCGTTGGCATACATCCACCAAATTGAAAATAAGGCAAATCATCTCGTTCAAATGAGAAATATAAAAGTACTTTGCTTATAAGCAGTCATAATTTGACTTTTAAGGCTGGTATCCTTTCGACTGTCCACTGAAGCGTTTGACCTCTGACACATACCAATTCCCTTCAATCGATACTTATTCTTCTTATTATTATTATTATCATAAAACAAGAAATATCAGAAAACGTCTGTCAAACATATAGAAATAAATCAGGCTACTATTAAAGTTACTTTATATACGAGTTCATTTCTCGTTGGTACCGCRATAATAAACCATGCTTTCGATTTGGCCACCATCTTTTCAATATCTAGAGTCCATTCTCTCCTGAAAGAAAAAAAAAGCCATGGTTTGGTTATTTATTTATTTGTTAAACAAATTTCATYTTTCATTGAAATTTGTACAGTTGTAGGTAACATTCACTGTTTTGTCGGACTGTGTTTGCGATTATGACATAACAGTTAACAGGTGCTATTTGTAGGGTATGTGATTTGCACGGCAGTCCCTCCAAACATTGCGTGCTAACCGYTGTGATTRTGATTAGCACTTAACGCTTAACACGCGCTGTTTKTAAATATAGYTTGCTTAAAGTTTGATCGCTTGACACTTCCAGTTCTTGCTGAATGTATATTTTCAGTTTTCACCGCATAAAACATAATATCAGTAGTCAGTCGTAAACCATACGYAACAACAAACCATATCAAGCTTGCAATATAGATAACATGATACGATAGAAGTCTTAATCATATCATGTATAACTCATGTTCTGCAATAATCACTGACTAGTGGTTCCGCCACTTTTACACCTGTTCGTATGTCTGTAAATTATACAATATACTGAACTATACTGTAACCCGCGATCTATTTTGGCGGTTCAAGCTGATTTGGTTCTTATATAAAGGGTTATAATCTGCAAAATCAGCCTGCAAGTGTTCTTAAAAAAATTTCTACAAATAAGGAACATACTTGGCTACCAAGATGAAATCAATATAACAATTAACATATTTTTATTTTGTTACATATAATTGGGGTGGAAGTATTATGTGTGCAATGAAAAGTAATGTTGATCTTTGATATTTTAATTCCATATAAGAACAACTTTCATTTTTCAGGCTAAATGTGTTCTTATATAAATGGTACTTTATTTCCTAAAATCAGGCCTGGGTGTTCTTAATCCACTTGTTCTTATACGCGGGTTTTTACTGTATTTTGATACAGTAAAAAAAAACGTTTTCTTTACGGGGGAGCGTAATGACGGACCACAGAGCATTCAAATATATTTACCACAAATCCTTCATCATAATTTGTTTTCTTTGAAATATTTAATTATTTAATTATTCTTTATATAAGCAGTTTTCCCACATGATTTATACGAAACACCTTCGATTTCTTCATTGGAAAATTATCAAGAATGATGGATGGGTTTGGAAATAACACTTTTAACACTTTTTCAAGGTTAAAATCTTGATATGACCAGATATCGATATAAACAAAACACAGCCAAGTAAAAACTACCAAATTATCACATGAATTGTTCGCTTAGTGTGGGGTATTTCGGGTTGCTTTTGGGACAATGACTTGATGGACAACGAAAACATCTCAGAATTTTGTGAGCTGCAATTTTTTTTGTATGCGACATACTTAACCATTACTTGATTATGATATCTTTTTATATTACTCTCTACTTTGAATACAAACTAGTTTATTCTTCCCTTAGGGCTAACTGTTTTCTTTTCTTTTCAGAATGGACAGGAATACAACGAAGACTCAAAGAAAATCAATTATCCAACATTAAATGCGAGCTACCTTTTTGTGATAATTTGATGAACTGAAAAATTTAATTCGAGCGTTTATATCTCAGTACTGAAATTAATTCTAAATCCGTAAAATTCTTAATTAATACTAGTTTGTAAAAGAAAAATCTACATTTGAATCAATCAATTATTAAGTGCCATGGATTCTTCGCGGCTCTACATAGGAAATGTTAGATGACAAAGTATCCGTTTGTATAATTGCCACATGCGAAAGACAAGTAATTCACCATCAAAGAAGTCTCCTCTGAAGCAGCCCATTGCCTAAAAAGACTGGTAAGGTAAAGAGTACAATTCAGTAATACAAAAAAACAACAACAAACAAACAAACAAAAAAACTAAAGGTAATTGCGCGATTAATTATACCTTACCTAACAGCCTTGATATGCTGATGTCAGAGTGTAGTTTGTTATCATTAATTACTGGTGAAATATTATATTTTAGTTCATATTTTATTATAGTAAACTAATTTACTATCCAAATGGAGCAGATATACTGAGCTACGAATTTCTCTTTTGTTCAGTAACATTTCCTCTTTCATAGACTTTCATTGTACATTGTGCAGCGTAAGTATAGATGATTCTATATCCATAATCCTTTTTACTGCTCACAAGTGTATATATTTTTTTAAGGTAAAATCGATATGAATTACAAGAGATCAAGTATTGCTCCAGAAAACATTGGATCGACAAACTCGGCGGAGACCGACACTACTATGCTAACCCCAAACAAACCAGAAAGCTTTGCAGAATTTGCTGAGAATACGACAATGCATGGAGGTCGTTTTCTTATCCATAAAAGCATTAAAAGACGAGTGTTTTGGTTTGTGTGTATTCTAGCTGCAGCTTCATATTGTCAGTATTCATTGTACCAACATTTCACGTACTTTTTGCAAAGACCATATACAACCGCCATCTCATCRAAACGAGAGAAAACAAGTATATTTCCCGAYATTTCAATCTGCAACATTAATCCCGTCCATACCGGGAAATACARAGMKRTCATGAARAATCGGTTCCCTAATGCCTCTATGGAAGATTTAGACRCCGATATAGATTACCTGGCAGATGTGCTTCTTGAMATGATKGGAAGCGGCAAAGCTCAACCTGCACAGGAACCGAAGGACCAAAAATACACAGACCAAATGTCAAGGATTGCTTCTCTTATTGAAAACTTGAATGACAGCAGCCATTCTTTGTCAGGGATGCTTCTCCCAACCGAACTATTTGGATGTCAGTTTCAGATGAACAGTTGTGGAATTGAAAACTTCACAGCTGTTCGTAATATAAGGTACGCTCAATGTTAYACCTTTAGGCCCACCAAGTCAAGAGTGGCTGTTGTCGGCAACTTGTWTGGATTRCGATTAAGACTTCACGTYCAGTCACCTTGGTATCTCAAGAACTCTAATGAACCAATTGTTGGCCTGAATTTACATGTCCATCGACAACACGGGCAACAAAGCCTTGAATTCGAGGGAGTTTTAGTTCAACCGGGTGTCCATACTTCGTTTTCTGTACAAAGGAAAGATGTAAGAATATTAAGATTATTAAGGCAATGGTAATTCCGGGTATGGTTTCAGATGCAAATATTCTTCTTGCATTTTTTTGTACACTTTTGTGTTGATAGGCTTGTCTGATTTAAAGAATCTTTAGTCATCCCTTAAGGACAGTTTCTTTTCACTTTAAATATCAAGCTTAAGTGATTTGATACTTGATTCTAAAAGTATGGAGGAAAAACTAGAACCGCTGTGACTAATACTCGAGCTCATAAATAAAATGCAAAGATTTTATGTAAGTACCTTTTTTTATAAGCATCTCCCAACTAACCCCCCCCCCCCC